TTTTTTTTTTTTTTTTTTTTTTTTTTTTTGGTACTGGGAATAAAATTCGGGACCTTGTGTTTGAGAGGTAGGCAGCGGAACCACTGAGCTACATCCCTGGCCCAATTCTTTCAATTCTTTTGGAAAGATAACCAGCACAGAGATAGTTGTTTCAAATGGGACCTCTAATCCTAGTTGTTTGAGGTATCTCCACACTGATTTCCACAGTGGTTGCACCAGTCTGCACTCCCACCAACAGTGGAGAAGGGTTCCTGTCTCCCCACAGCCTGGCCAACATTTGTTATTGGTTGATTTCTTGATAGCATCGGCTGCTCTTCTTGCCGGGCAGTTAATGGGTGTGGTGCCACCTGCTGGTCCCACGCTGCTTCATTGCTCAGTTCTACCATCATTTTGTCTGCTTTTTGTTTTTTGATTGTTTTGAGAGGGGATCTCTCTGTGTAGCCCATGGCCTTGAACTCGCGGTGACCTCCTTCCTCAGCCTCTCCGCTGCTGGGATTATGGGAGTTTGGTGGTTTGGAGGGTGTGCCTCATGGGCTCCCTGAATAAGCCACCGGGTGGTGACTCAGTTAAAATGACGTGAGGTGGGGATGGATGGGAAGGAAGGTGGAGAAATGAAAAACAAAGTGTTCATGGAAGGTCAGCTTGGGGAAATACTGCTTTTGCCCTAAGAAAACCGGAGGAAAGGCCTGTGGGGAGGAGAGGCCCACCTGTTGTCTGTCCTGTTTACTTTGCCCCATCAACCTTTACCCTGCATAGACTTGACCTTGAAGGGTGCAGGGCAGTTATTGGCCACACCTAGTCTTTCCCTGTCCCCTCAAGGGGGGCAGGGATCAGGAAGGCTGGAGAGGAAGAAACCGGGAGAAGCGTGGGCCCAACTGGTGCCTATGGGGGAGCAGCCCCAGGACAGGCAGCAGACGTGGCCCCCATGGCTGCGCTCTGCACTCCAGGGCTCCCTAATGCAGCTGCATTACCCAGCTAATGCCCCAAGGGTCCCCCCGAGGGGTCCTCCACTGCTTCTGTCCCTCCCTTACTCCATCCTGAACCCCCAGCTGGTCCCCACCTCCCACAGCCCTGGCCACGGCCTCCTTTCCTCCCTTTCCTCAGGCTGCATCCAGGCTCAGTGGTCCCCAAGGTGCCTTTACACCCCATCTTGTCAGTGTCTGGGGCTGTGGCCATCAGGAGCCACTCCTTCCTGCAAGGAAAGTTCCCTTCTATCAGAGAGGAGACCATCTTACCTGCACCCAAGCCCCTGTGAGTCCCCACAGGAGTCCTGGGCTCTCATGGCCTCTCTCTACTCTAGTTCACTACAGGTACATGTGGCGATTCGGCGATGCATAGCTGTGAGCTCTGTGGCAAGGGTTTTCGCCTGCAGCGCATGCTCAACCGCCACCTCAAGTGCCACAGCCAGGTGAAGAGGCACCTGTGCACCTTCTGCGGGAAGGGCTTCAATGACACCTTTGACCTGAAGCGGCACGTACGCACACACACAGGTGAGGTCATCACCAGGGATGTCCAGGTCCTCTCCCAATGCTGCCACCTGCTGGCCTCTTCCAGCCTGTTCTGGACTCTAGAAAGTCCCAGAGCGAGTCGGGTACGTAGGCTCAGGGTGCTTGACACAAGTGGGGTGGGGACCTGTCAGTGCCCTGGCCACCAGGGTTCGGCTCTCTGTCCTTCTTCAGCACTCTGTTTTGTTCCTGGGAAGGAGGCCTAACTCAGTAAACACTGGGGCGACATGATGACTGCTTAAATTGTATACCACTTAATATATAATAAAGGACACATCGCGACACCTCCCCTCCCATCATCCTCGCCACTTTCTGCAACATCTCTGGAGTCCTCTTTCCTGAGTGTCTCTATGAAGTATGATAAAAATATGGTGAATGGTGTTGTTGAGTGCCATCCAAGGGAAAGGCAGACTCATAAAAACATGACACTATGTCTTCAACCACTGGCTCTGAGATTTCTGACTCTTCTTCAAAGTCAAAATGACCACAAAAGGCATTTTGAGTTGTTGATTCAGAATGTAGAGGCAGCCATGAAGCACAACTAGACAGGAAAGAGGACTTCCAGAGCTTCTGTACAAAGTGCCAACAACAATGGTAGAAGTGTACAGGAGAGCTGGGCATGGTGGCACACACCTATGATCTCAGCATTCTGGAGGCTGAGGCAGGAGGACTTTCATGATTTCAAGGCCAGCCTGAACTACATAGAGAGACCTTGTCTCAAAAAACCAAAAGAAAGGGACGGGGATTTAGCTCAGTGGTACTGTGCCTGCCTTGCAAGTGCAAGGTCCTTAGTTTGATCCAAGTTCCAAAAAACCCAAAAAAAACAAAAAGAAAAAAAAGTGCTCCAAGAAAGGGTGGTGATTTAAAGGAGACTCATGTCAATCTGTATTTTACTATGGTAACTTTTAAAATTTAAACAGTTTCTGTATTTGCTGATCCTTTCTATTGCATTGCTATTGCTGAGAAATTAGCCCAAGTCTGATGGGCAAGCACCTGCCTTCTTTGAGGGCCCCTCTCCACCTCTCCTTACTGGTGATGGGACCCAGGGCCTCCACACCCATCTTAGTGCCTCACCCAGCTCAGCCTCACCCTGTGCGGAGCTTCCAGGTCCTCAGCTGTGCGCTGCGTCCTGGAGCGTGGGGTTGCCGCTGCCCTTGCTGCTTCTGCAGCCTTGTTAGCACTATGCAGGCGATGTTAAGTAGATGGCACAGGCCTCGGGGATTCCCTGCCAGCCCACAGGCCACTGCCCCACCCCGTGGTCCCAGGGTGCTGCTCCCACCGCAGTTCCCAGCTCTCATCTTGGTGGGTTTCACAAGCAGCCCCTCATGAAGGCCAGGCGTGATGACGTGGGTCTGTAATTCAGCATTTGGAGGCTGAGGTAAGGGGATTGTTGAGTTCAAGGCCAGGCTGGGCTACACAGCAAGAACCTGTCTCAAAAACAAAAACAAAAACAAAAAAACAGAAACAAAATCTGAATGTGATAGAGCACACCTGTGAGCCCAACACTCTAGGCTGAGGCAGTAGGACTTGAAGTGTAATGGTTTAGAGACCCTATCTCAAAAACAAAAAGTTTTTCTTTTTAAAAAGTGCCAGAGATAAGCCAGGTGTGGTGATGCGCGCTTGTAATCCTAGCACTGAGGCAGGAGGATCACTCTGAGTTCACAGACAGACTGGGCTCCATAGTAAGACCCTGGCTCAAAAAAAAACAAAAAGGTAGTGGACACTAGAGTTTGAAGACAACTCTAAACCAACAACTAAAAACCCTGAAACTTCTCAACTTTTACTGTGGGTGCTCAGAGTGGGTAGGGAGTCAGGGTCCAAGCAGGGATCAGAAACAAAGAAAGCTTGCAAATCGTCCAGGGAAACCAGAGCCTGAAACGCCTGCCATTAATAATATCCAGGCAGGTGAAGGAAAGTTTAGATTGGTGGATGTGGCTTCAAGAGAAGGGCGAGGCAGTGGGGTGTGTGTGCTATGCAGACACTAGTGTGCAATGGGGCAGGCATTGGAGACGGGCCCAGCTGGATGTGCCTGGACTCCATAGCAAGTCCAAAACGAGCCTGACCTGAAATACATAGTGAGACCTGGTCTCAAAGCAACCCCTCCCAAAAAGATAAGATCTTTAGTTTGTGTGGAGATGGGTTTACTGTGTACCCAGGCTAGGCTTAAATTTGAAACCCTCCTGCATCAGTCTCCAAGTGCTGGGATCTTGGGCTGTACCACAAAGCCTTTTTCTTCTTTCTCCTTTTTGAGACAGGGTCTCACTATGCATTTCATGCTGGCCTTGAACTCACCAGGATGACCTCGATCTCACAGCAGTCCTGCCTCAGCCGCCTAAGTGCTGGGATTACAAACATGTACCACCATGCCTGGCCTTTTCCCTCTTTTTGAACAGGAAATTCATGAGCAGAAGTGGCTGAGTGCCCTCGCCGACCTATGAGCCACTGTCAGGGACCTGGGACACAACCTGGAGGAGGGCATTGGCCCTGGTCCCTCATGGTTTTTTTATATGAGGGGTTGAGACAGGGTTTTGCTTTGTAGCCCAGGCTGACTTCGACCTTGCAGCAACTCTTCTCCTGCCTTGGCCTGTGTCACCATGCCTGTCCTTGTCCCTAGGCTTCATTTTTTTTATTGTTTTGGAGCTATAGTTTTCTTTTTCTTTTCTTTTTTCTTTTTGTACCTGGAATCAAACTCAGGACATCCCTGGCCAGAGCTGTGATTTTCTTTTTCCTTTCTCTTTTTTTTTCAGTACTAGGCACTGAACCTAGGGCTTCTGCACTACCCCGCGCCC